CTTTGGGCTGTCCCAGGACAGTGCTTTCCCAGGCCACAAGCAGGGAGCTAGATGGGAAGTGGGGCATCCAGGATTAGAACTGGTTTCCATATGGGTTCCTGGTGCATGCAAGGTGAGGACTTTAGCCACTAGGCTACTGTACTGGACCCTGGGTTATTTTTGAAATTATAAACTTTCCAAATCATATTTTGGATGAATGTGCCTTATCAGTTATATGATTTGCAAATATTTCCCCTCTCTGAGGGTTGTCTTTCACTTACTACTTTTTTTATCTTATTCTTAATGTTGTTCACATAGTTGAGGAGGATGCATACCCATATGGGCCTCTGATTAGGGTATGCATGGCTGGGGCAGGGAAGAAGGTGCGTAGGACCATTTTTTTCTCCTTTATCTGTAGGTAGCGGAGCGTGGGCTGGGGAAGGGGGCCACTCCTAGCTGCCAAGCTGCATCAGCATCTGGGAATGGAAGATGGTTATCTTAGAGACCTTGATGGTTTTTCATTTTTTTACTTTTATTGGAAAGGGAGATTAAATCTATGTAAAGAAGGAGAGACAGAGAAATATCTTCCATCCATTAGAGCTTCTTCCTCTAGGTCTCCCATGCCAGTGCAGGGTCCCAAGGCTTTGGGCTGTCCTTGGCTACTTCCCCAGGACCCAAGCAGAGAGCTAGATAGGAAGTGGAACAGCGGGGACACGAACTGCTTCCCATATGGGATCCTGGCGGTTGCAAGGTAAGGATTTAGCCACTAGCTATCGTGTTGGGCCCTAACATAGATTACTTAAGAGATTTACTTATTCATTTGAAAAGCAGAGAAAGAGATAAAAATGGCTCATGCGTTGGTTCACTTCCCCAAATGTCTACAATAGGAGCTGAATCAGGTCCAAGCCAGCAGCCTGGAGCTCCAAGCTGGTCTCCCCATGTGGCTGACAGGGACCCAATTCTGTAACCCATCACCTGTTGCCTTCCCTGGGACATTTACAAGAAGCTGGATCAAACACAGAGTAGACAGCTTTCAATTTGGCATTTTAATGGAGGATAAAGGTATAACAAGTGGTGGCTTAATATGTCACACCACTACATCTCCACTCCCACTTTGCTTTGGCAAGATAGCTTCCACTTGTTGGTAACCATCACTTCGGTGTGATCACACACATTAAGTCACATCCCATCAATAGTTATAATGCTTCAGGATCTTGATCTTACTCATTAAAAATCTCCTTTGAGGGTCTAGAACAGTAGCCTAGAGGCTGGGGTCCTTGTCTTGCATGCGTCAGCATCCCAAATGGGCACCGGTTCTAATCCTGGATGCTCCACTTCCCATCCAGCTCCCTGCTTGTGTCTGGTAAAGTAGTTGAGGATGGCTCAGGGCCTTAGGACCCTGTACCTGCTTGGGAGACATAGAAGAATCTCCTGACTCCTGGCTTCAGATTAGCTCAGCTTTGGTTGTTGTAGCCATTTGGGGCTTAATCAGCAGACAGAAGATCTTTTTCTCTGTCTCTCCTCCTCTCTGAATATCTGACTTTCCGGGACAAATAAATCTTTAGGGCCAGGCGCAATGACCTAGTGGCTAAAATCCTCACTTTGAACGTACAGGGATCCCATATGGGCGCCAGTTCTAACCCTGGCAGCTCCACTTCCCAATCAGCTCCCTGCTTGTGGCCTGGGAAAGCAGTCAAGGACAGTCCAAAGTCTTGGGACTGTACCAGTGTGGGAGACCTGGAGGTAGTTCCTGACTCCTGGATTTGGATTGGCGCAGCACTGGTCGTTGCGCTCACTTGGGAAGTGAATCATTGGACGGAAGATCTTCCTCTCTGTCTCTCTCCTCTCTGTATATATGACTTTGCAATAAAAATAAAAATAAATCTTAAAAAATAAAATAAAAAATCTTTAAAAAACTCAAACATCAAAGACTCTCTCACTCTTTCAGATAAACAAATGATCTTTAAAAAAAACATTAAATAAGGGGGCCCAGTGCAGTAGCCCAGTCGCTAAAGCCCTTGCCTTATGCGCCTGGGATACATCCCATATGGGTGCTGGTTCATGTCCTGGCTGCTCCACCTCCCATCCAGCTCCCTGCTTGTGGCCTAGGAAAGCAGAGGACAGCCCAAAGCTTTGGGACCTTGCACCCGCGCGGGAGACCCGGAAGAGGCTCCTGGCTTCTGGCTTTGGATTGGCTCAGTTATGGTCACTGTGGCTACTTAGGGAGTGAACAAGCAAATGGACGTTCTCTCCTCTCTCTATAAACCTGACTTTCCAAATAAATAAATAAATCTTAAAAAGTCAAAAATTAAAATAGGGACCAGTACTATGGTACAGTGGGTAAAGCCACCTATGATGCCAGCATCCCACATGGGCACCATTTCAAGTTCTAGTTGTTTTGCTTCCTATCCAGCTCCCCACTCAAGACCTGGGAAAGCAGCGAAGGACTATCTAAACTTTTGGGCCCCTGCACCAATGTGGATGACTCAGAGTAGGCTCCCACCTACGGAGCGATCCAGCTCCATCTGCTAGGACCATTTGGCAGCAATTCACAACTGTTGAATTATCAAAACCACTTGAGCAGGACCCTTGGAGCATGCCCCACAGCAGGGACTTGTGATGGGTGGGAGGCTGGGTGGGGCTTCTCCCTTTATCTCTCCATTACCCCAGATACAGAAAAAAAAAAAAAAAAGCAATGATGTGGAAACAATAGTCATACCCACTTTCCTGTAGCCCTTGACCCTTTGTGTCCTAATCATCTATACAAAGACTGTCAAAAATAAAGGGAAAAGGGCTCAGTGCGATAACCTAGCAGCTAAAGTCCTCCCTTCAATGCAACAGGATCCCATATGTGCACCAGTTCTAATCCTGGATGCCCTGCTTCACATCCAGCTCCCTGCTTGTGGCCTGGGAAAGCAGTCGAGGACGGCCCAAAGCCTTGGGACCCGTGTGGGAGACCTGAAAGAGGATCTGGGCTCCTTGCTTTGGATCGGCACAGCACTGGCCGTTGTGGTCACTTGGGGAGTGAATCATCGGACGGAAGGTATTTCTCTCTCTCCCCTCTTCTCTGTATATATCTGACTTTGCAATAAAAATAAATAAATCTTAAAATACAAAGATAAAAATAAATCTTTAAATCTAACTTCCTTGCTATATATATAACAAGGATCCTCAAAGAAGAATTAAGTGTTTTCAGTGTGATCACATGATACTTGTATTGGTAGACCTGGAGCTGGAATACAGGTTTGGGGACCAGCCTAGGAAAAGGATCGCGTCAAGTCTTCATTTATAGATAATTAGAAGGACCAAAAAATATTGTTTTAAAGCAGCAGCTTTAAAACTGGGAGGAAAAAAGAACGGCTTTGCCTTGGCTTCATGATACCCAGACAATCACGCCTGCCCCACCAGCTTCCTTCACACGTTCTGCTCCTTCCTTTTCTTTGGAGGAGTGAACTTGTTCTTGATCTCCTCCTCACACTGACAGCAAGGTGCAAGCTGTGACGGCTGCAGGTGCTGACATCAGCGACCAGTTTTCTGATCTTCTAGAAGGCAGCCCAGGCCAAGCTATGGGGCGCAGGAAGGGTAAACCTTCATCAGAACAAAGAATTACTTTGTAAAATTAAGCTTTCTCCCCACTTGTCTCAGCTAGGTGTCCTTGCCCAGTACACAAAGCTGGCATCATTAATGAATCTCTCTCCTGCTCACCCTTAGGGACTTTCAGAATCTTTTGGCTTGCCACTGCCTCCCTTTTATGCTGTGATGTGTTGGTCCAGCAGCCAACCACTACCTGCTAGGAACTCTCACCCATCTAGCAACTCCTCTGTCCCTCAAATCAACCTGTTGTCTGCACTGCACAGATGAGAAACCAAGGCGAGGAGAATCAGGAAACAAACTGGATTAAGATAACAAGGGGCAGCCGGACTCCCATCTTAGCCTCCCTTTGCCCTCAACAGCTTCCTGACTCATTGCCAAGCTCCTATCTTGCTCCCCCTCGAAATTCTGCTCCCCAACACAAATGGAACTTGCCATGCCAACTATTTGAAACTAAACTCCTTAGTATGTAAGTCCAGTGCCCAGCCCTAACTGACCTTTGCAGGCTTACTCTCATAGTATTCCACCACTTTTCAACTTTTTAAGTTTCTGAGATTCATCCGTGTCTTCACATTGCTTAACCAGCCCACTTCCCCACCCCCAATACCTTCCTGGAAGAAAAAGACTAGGCAACATATTTCAGATTAGTAAAAAAAAAAAAAAAAAAAAAAAAGCAGCAGCTGTTTATGACGGGCAATGTTACAGACGGGAATTGTGTCATCTTTCCTGGGCTTCTCTAGAGCCAGCCAGGACGGATCCGGACGCTCCTGCGGGAACCCGCCCGCATCTTCACCAAAGCTCCGGCTGCCCTCTGACAATCCTCTCCGGGCTCCCTGCGTGCGTGTGCCAACGTGCAATGGAAGAAGCTGAGCGGCGCAGTTATTTCGCGGACAGACCCAACTGCCAACTTCACGACCTCTCCTGGCCGCATGCATTCTGTCCGAGAGGTGGCTCCGGCTCAGGCAAGGCCACGGGGACCCCACATCGCGGACCTGCAGGCGGTGGGGCTGCTGTGGCCTGAGCTCTCAGCAGGGACGGGTGCCCGCGCCCGAGAAAACGTGGGCTCCGGGAGCCGAGAACGTAGAACCCCCTCGCATGACGCCACCAGGAACCCAGGGCTGCCTCACCGCCGCAGGACCCACAGGTGCCCCTCCCTGCCCCCGCCAAGGTTCGCGCGGCCTCCCTCCCGCGCTCCCCTCTGGAACAAACAAGTCCGCATTGCCCGCAGCTGCAGCGTGAGCCGCGAAACGCGCGCCGGGAGCGAGCCCCGGAGGGGTGGCGGGCGGGCGGCGAGGGCCGGAGCGGGGCCCGGGCGGGATCCGGAGCTGGCACGGCTCCCCGCGCGCTCGGGCGCCGGGCCTCTCGGCTCTGCCTTCCTGCGCCCTCCCTCCGGCGGAAGGGGGGCGGCGGGAGCTCCGAGCGAGGCGAGGGCCCCTCGGCGGCACCCCCTCCCCGGGCAGGCGCGGGCGGGCGGAGCCGAGCCCGCCTCAGCCGGCCGCGGCGGGAGCAGCTCGGCGCGGCGCCGCGGGCAGCGAGCTCCGCATTCGAACCTCCCTCGCAAAGACAGTCTCCGCCCCACAATGCACCGCGGCGGGCAGCCTTTGAAAAAGCGGCGCGGCTCGTTCAAGATGGCGGAGCTCGACCAGTTGCCTGACGAGAGTGAGTAGCACCTCAAGCACCCCCGTCTTCCCGCCGGCCGCCTGCCCCGCGCCTGTACCGGCCGGGATAAGCGGCCGTGCCCACCACCCGGCAGGCGGGCTGACTACCAGCCCCACCGTGGTCCCCTAGTCCTCCTTACTCCGGGGTTGCCGCCGCGTCGCCGCCTTTGTTATGGTGTCTGTGTATTGGTTTCTGGGGTTGTGGGAGCGCCAGGGCCGGAAACCGAAAGCCCAGGAGTCCACTGTGTGTGGGGCGGAGGCTGTGGCTGCTTCCCTGGCCCGACTCCGGCCCCCGGCCGAGGTGAAGGCAGAGCGGCCCCCGGACGCCGGGGCTGTCCTCGCCGCCTGCACCACTCGCCCGGCGCCGAGAGACGCCCGCCGGGTTATGTAACTCGCCGGGCCGGGGGGCCCGAGGGCGGGCTCGGACTGGGCACGCGGTGGTCCCTGCCCATTCTTGTCCTTGGCCTCTGATGTTGACCTGTCACAGCTCCCACCTCTATAGGCATCGGTGATCTCCACTGCCCCCCCCCCCAACCCTACTCATTGGTGTGTCCACCGCTGGAAGTGTTTCCGTGTCAGAGGCTTGGCCCCTTCCCCCTGGGACCACAGGTGGCCGTGGAGCTTGGCGGAGATCATCCAGACGGGCTGTCTAGTGTTCAGATCACCCCATCCTACAGACTGCTCCGTGTGTCTGTGTCTTCAGGGTCGTCGGGGTCCTCCTGGCGCTTGAGTGACACCTACACAGCTCGCAGGGGCTGTGCCCTGCCTGACACCTAACCCGCACACCGCCCCATGTAGTTGCTCCCTGCCCCTGATAACTCAGATGAGTGTGCCCACCGTGATGAGCAGGGCAAAGCACCGATTCAGTGGTTTTAAAACAGTGGAACCTCATTTAGTCATTTTCTCTATTGTGTAAATTAAATAAAACGACAAATTGTTAGTTACAAAGTGTCCTGAACCCGCACTCATTGCTCAGTTCATGTACACCTAGCATTTGAGGGGAAGGAGGGGATTGCATGTAACAAACACAGAAGGCTCAGGTACTATGTATCTATGCACAAAGCAAATACATAGATTCCTAAAATGAGAGCTCAAGTGAGTGCCAATTCTGTGTATGAGGTCACATGTGCTATAAAGTTAATAGTTCAGGTTGCCAGATTGGGGAAAAGTTTTATTTTAAAGTGTTTTAAATGTTATCCAGGCCACCACTGTCACTGGCCTGTGACAAAGTTCCCTAGAGAACTTTTGTCACTGCTGGAAATAGTCTCTTTCGTGATGTCCCACAGGGTAGCCACCACCATGCCGAGCTGTGGAACATTTCAAGTATGGTTAGTATGGCTGAGGACCTGGATTTGAAGTTTTATTTCAGTCGATGTGTGAGGTGTTGTCTGCCAGGATGCAGCCGTAGACAACCTCCCCGTGAATCCTGTTGAGGTCTCTTGTTGGGAGAGTACAGGGGCCTATGATTTAGGATGTCTGCAAGTAATAAGAATGCTGAGCTTGTCACGCGAAAATGTTTTTGTCTCTTTCATCCTTGTCTTTATCATGACAGATGATACCTACCTCTAAGAGATTACAGTCAGTACAGGTGTTTTAGTAATTCTGTTGAAATCAGGGGTGTTTGAAGTAACTTCCTTATAACTTTCTAGGAATATTTGTCCTCTATTGAGAACTTGCTGTCATTCTTTGTAAGGATTGGGATTCATTCCCGAGTTTCTATTCTAGCTATTATGCTTTCATGCAGAACACCTGACTCTCAAACTGTATACCCCAGTGGTTTGTTACTTTGTGACATCTCTAGTGCATTGCAAGGTGTGTGTGTGTGTGGTGAGGTGGGGTGTGGATCTTGTTTAGCTAGATTGTAGCTTTGTAGAAAGTAGAAATTGTTTCACCTTTTGACACAAATGGCCTGGACCAACTGTACATAAATCCTTGATTTATATGGAATTGATGGTAGAGTTAATGGGCCTAACAATGAAACTGGAGCAGAGGTCTGTAAAGCAAAAACAGTTTGCATTCAATGTCGCAAGTAGCAGATTTTGCCAACTTTGGTCCAGGCAACCAGCTACTATAATGTCACCATTATAACATTTTCAGTGATTAAAAACTACCATTTATTGAGTACTTACTGTGAGCCAGATATATGCAAACTATATTATGTATTTGCTCGGCTAATTCTTGTTTTAATTGATTTAATACTGATTTTAAAGATGAGGAAACAGGCCCCAACTCTTTCCTCTGAGCTCCTGTTCTTTTTTTTTTTTTTTTTAAGATTTATTTTTATTATTTTTTCATTGGAAAGGCGGATATACAGAGAGGAGAGACAGAGAGGAAGATCTTCCGTCCGATGATTCACTCCCCAAGTGAGCGCAATGGGCCGATACTATGCCAATCCGAAGCCAGGAGCCTCTTCCGGGTCTCCCACGCGGGTGCAGGTTCCCAAAGCTTTGGGCCGTCCTCGACTGCTTTCCCAGGCCACAGGCAGGGAGCTGGAAGGGAAGCGGGGCTGCCGGGATTAGAACCGGCGGCCATATGGGATCCCGGGGTGCAAGGCGAGGACCTTTAACCACTTGTGCCACCGCGCCGGGCCCAAGAGCTCCTGTTCTTGATATCTGTTGTCTATATATCATGTCTTCTTTTAGATGCCCTCTACTTGACAGTTTGAAAGTCCACCTCATAATACTGTCCAGCGTATAGATACTTACAGTAGATTCTGTCTTAATGTTTGTTCCACTTTGCATTTGACTGACTGTCAGAAGCCATACAGGTTATCTTTGGCACTTCTCTCTCCTTGATTTCCAATGTTTAGACCTTTACCAAGTCTTGTAATGCTATACCTACTGGATTCTGCTTATCATCATTCTAGCCCAACCTGTCACCCTCTCTTCTGTAATCACTTCAGCCTCCAATTAATAAATTTCCTCCCTCACATACCCACAGCCAAGCAATCTTTTGAAAATATGTAAAACTCTTTTGAGCCCAGCGCAGTAGCCTAGCGGCTAAAATTCTCACTTTGCACACACCAGGATCTCATACGGGTGCCAGTTCTAAAATCTGCTGCCCCACTTCCCATCCAGCTCCCTGCTTATGACCTGGGAAAGCAGTCGAGGGTGACCCAAAACTTTGGGACCCAGGACCCATGTGGGAGACTCAGGAAGCTCCTAGCTTTGGATCAACTCAGCTCTGGCCATTGTAGCCATTTGGGATGGGAACTGGTGGATGGAAGCTATTTCTCTTTCTGTCCTTCTCTCTGTAAATCTGATCTGCCTTTCTAATAAAAACAAATAAATCTTAAAAAAAATCTTTTCAAGCCACAGTGTAACTTAGTGGCAGCTGTGTAATATTTGTGTGATTATCTGGTTAGTAGGCCCACCAGGGCAGGTATTGCACCTGTTTTTCTTCATTTTCCTGGTTCCATGCATTACACTTCCCTCTCTCTGGTAGTTCTCACGCACAATAGGCCCTTCCATTTTTTCTCACTTCTCAGGGCTTTTGGCCATCTCTTTCTTCTGCTCACTTTCGTTCTCAGTTCTTTTCTTGCTACTTCGGAAAGGGGCCTCCCCTAACTATGAAGTAACCCTCCTCAGGGAGATCATCCTATTTAGTGATGATTATTTTATGTATTTACTTATTGTGGGCCTCTTTTCACTACAATGTAACCTCTGAGAATGGATGTTTCGTCCAATTTGTTCCTGGGCTAACCTCAGTCCTTAGTCTTCATGGCAGACATTCAGAGTTCAAACTTAATCAGATTCACTCATCTGGAAGGTTCATGTTCTTCACCTGATTGACTGTTTTTGATGGAACAAAGGAATTCCCAGAATAAGCACTATAAGAAAATTAGCTGTGTACTGTATGCACTATTTTTTTTTTTTCTGTATCTGGGGTCAAGGGGAAGATAAAGGGAGAAGCCCCACCCAGCCTCCCACCCATCCCAGGTCCCTGACGTGGGGCATGCTCCAAGGGTCCTGCTCAAGTAATTTTGATAATTCAACAGTTATGAATTGCTGTCAATCTCACCATTCCAAGCACAATGAAATTGCTACAGAATCCACTGGCTGATATAGTCCAGCTTGGAGTCTCCGTTTGCCCAGATTTTCACTGGCAACACATGGCTGGGATAGTTGATTGATTTGTTCTGTCTTCCGTCCTCTCTTGTGTATGCACTATTCTAAGCCCTGTTAACACATGGGGGTGCTTGAAAAGTTCATGGAAACTGGAATTAAAAAATAAGTTTATTTATGGAGCAAATATGTTTTGAAATCCACAGAACTTTTTCATAATAATCACTTTCACAGGACTTTTTGAAGACCTTCCCTTAATAACCTGTTTAATCTCTATTTTGTGACAGACAGTAGCGTAGAGAAGACAATTAACCCACTAAGATATCACTGTAAGAAAGTGGCAAAGCCAAGATTCAGACACAGCTGGTCTCAGTCTAGAATCTTTTGGGGTGGGCAGTGTGGCACAGTGGGTTAAGGGCCCGCAGGGACACCTGCCTTCAGTATCAGAGTGCTGATTTGAGTCTGTCCAACTCACTTGGAAAATCAGGGAAATATGGTTCAGGTTCTTGAGTTCCTGCTACTCAAGGAAGATCTAGATGGAAGTTTCTGACTTTTCCTTGTCTCTCTTTCTCTCTCCCTTTCTCTTTCTTTCATGTATGTGTGTGGTAAAATGCACAATGGCAAGAGACAGAGATCTTCTATCTGCTGGTTCACTCTTCAGATGCCTACAACAACTAAGGCCAGGCCAGGCTAAACCTGAGAGCCAGGAATTCCACCCATTCTCCTACAGGGGTGGCAGAGACTTAAGTACTTGCCTTCAAGGCGCATTAGCAGAAAGCTAGATCAGAAGCATGGATGTTCCAGTATGTGATGTGGGCATCCCAAAGTACATCTTCACCTGCTGAGCCTCAACGGCCACAAAGGAAAAAGTGTTCAAAGTTGTAAGTCAGGTGCTCTAACGTGGTTTTTGTCAGAGATGGATATCCTTGTAGCATATACTTCTTTCTTATACTTCCTTATATTTTTTCCTTCAAGTCTCTATTCAGATATCACTATTCAGAGAAGCTAATCATGAATGTTTTACGTAAAGATAACCTTTCATCTCTTCACACCCATTCCACATTCTCTCTCATCCTGCTTTACTTTTTTCGCTGATGGCATTTATCATCACTGGATGTCTATTTGCCTCCCTCCAGAACAATACTTTCCACAGAAGTTGGGACTTGGGCTGTTTGGATTGCTCTTGTGCCCCCATTGCCTGGAGCACAGACTGGCATGCATTTAGCACTGCTTACCACTTTCTTCACAAATGAACTCTATTCCTCTTGGTAGCTTCAAGGTTATGTGTACTCTCCATGGCTGTGGAGATTTCCTACCCATGACTCTAATTACCTTCAAACAAGTTTTTCATATTCTCCTTTTCCCTACATCTATAGCTCCTATGCTTTGTTCACACTGGAACCTTTAGTCCGATGTTCATCAAAGTGAATTATCTGCAGCAAAATCTTCTAAGAAGTTTGTTAAGTAGTTAAGATTATGCTTTCATGGAAGCTTCCAGCTAATTCTTGTAAGTTATGGTTTGTTTAGTGAACCCCTCCTACTTTCACTGACATCTCCACTGTTTTGTGCTGCGCGTACCTGGTTTCTAGACTGCGAAGGGACTTCTTACCTGCTATGACAGTCTCAGTCATCTCCACTTTCTGTCTTCTCTACTCCATTACCTGTTCTGATCTTTGCCTCAATGAATGTCCATTTGCTTTCTCTTTTCCTCCAATGCCAGAGGATGAATGAGGATCCAGAATTACTTCTGTCCTTACTCTTCTCTTTTTTCTCTCATTTTACATTTTCCTGTCTCAGAATTGGAATGTATCAAGACTTCCAAATGTCTCTCTCCACTTCTTATTCTGTCTGGGTTCTGGTCTATAGTTTGAATTGTCTGGGAGTTGCTTCTAGCAGCACATCCCAGTACCACTTCAATCTCAACAGTGCTAACACCAAACAGTTCTTCTGCCTCCAAACTAAGTGTTCTGTCCTTCATGTTGATTATGAAATACTTGTTAATTTGTTTTATCTTTAATTACAGGCTCTTCAGCAAAAGCCCTTGTCAGTTTAAAAGGTAAGATTTAGATATGCCGTAAACTAGAAATTTAATTTGTAAGACTAATTTGGATATCATGTATATATATTTAAGATTTATTTATTTTTCTTGGAAAGTCAGATTTACAGCGAGAAGGGAGTGACAGAGAGGTCTTCCATCCACTGGCTCACTTCCCAAGTGGCCACAACGGCGAGAGCTGAGCTGATCCGAAGCCAGGAGCCTCTTCTGGATCTCTCATGGGGGTGCAGGGTCCCAAGGCTTTGGGCCATCCTCTGCTGCTTTCCCAGACCACAGGCAGGGAGCTGGAAGGGAAGTGGTACAGCTGGGATATGAACCAGCACTCTCATGGGATCCCGGAACATGTAAGGGGAGAACTTTAGCCACTAGGCTACCACTCTGAGCCTATTCTTTTTTTCTTCTAAGTTATTCATTATAGCTTTTAGCTGTTTTCACTCATAACTTTAGCTTTAAGAATTTTTTATTTTCAGGACCAGCTTTGTGATGGGTGCCTGCAGTACCAGCATCCCATATGGGTGCTGGTTTGTGTTCCAGCTGCTCCACTTCCCACTTAACTCCTTGCTCATAGCCTGGAAACAATAGCAGAAGATGGCCCAAGTGTTTGGGCCCCTGCCACCCTTATTGATGGCCCAGATGAAGCTCCTGGCTTTGGCCTGGCCCAGCTTTGCCCATTTTTGCTGTCTAGGGAGTGAATCAATGGATGGCAGATTTCTATGTCTTTGCGTCTCTGTGTAACTCTTTCAGACTTTTTTTTTTTTTTTTTTTTGAGATACGGAGAGACTGAGATCGTCTATGTATTGGTTCACTGGCCAAGTGCCTGGAACAGCATTTAACCCAGACTGGGTCAGATTAAAGCCGGGAGCCCAGAACTTCAAGTTAGATCTCCTGTGTGCTTGCACCATCATCTGCTGCCTCCCCAGGAACACAGTAGCAGCAAACCAGATCAGATGCAAAAAAGCTGGCACTTAAACTTTATATGGGATGTGGATGTCCCATGGAGCATCTTATTGTTAGCCATATGCCTATTCTATCTGATAGCTTTTAATTCCTATAGTTTTATGGAATTGACACTCAGAAATTATAAAAAGAAATTATTCAATGTATCCTTCCTAACTTGGTACAATAGACTAATTTACTTTACATGATTTAGCTTATACAAAACTCTTTAGGATTCTGCTGCATTGGGGCCAGCTTCATGATGTACCAAGTAAGGCAGCTAACTGTAGTGTTGGCCTCCTGTATCAAGTCTGGCTGCTCTACTTCCGATCCAGCACCCTGTGTATGTTTTTGGGGAAGCAGCAGAAAATAGCGGAAGGTCTTCGGCTCCTGGCTTGAGGCTTGTCCAGCCCTGGCCACTGTAGCCAATTAGGAAGTGAGCCAGAACCTGTCTCTCCTGATTCTCTAACTCTGATATTCAAATAAGGAAACAGTCTTCTTTTTTCTTTTTTTAAAAGATTTATTTATTTATTGGAAAGTCAGATATACAGAGAAGAGGAGAGACAGAGAGGAAGATCTTCCGTCCGATGATTCATTCCCCAAGTGAGCGCAACGGCCGATGCTATGCTAATCCGAAGCCAGGATCCAGGAACTTCTTCCGGATATCTCAACGGGTGCAGGGTCCCAAAGCTTTGGGCCATCCTCGACTGCTTTCCCAGGCCACAAGCAGGGAGCTGGAAGGGAAGTGGAGCTGCCAGGATTAGAACCGGTGCTCATATGGGATCCTGGGGCGTTTAAGGCGAGGACTTTAGCCACTAGGCCACGCTGCCGGGCCCAACATAATTTTTTTTTAAGATTTATTTTATTTTTATTGGGAAGTCAGATATACAGAAAAGAGAAGAGACAGAGAGGAATATCTTCCGTTCGATGATTCACTCCCCAAGTGAGCGCAACGGTCGGTGCTGAGCTGATCCGAAGCCAGGACCCCTAGAGCTCTTCCTGGTCTCTCATGTGGGTGCAGGATCCTAAGGCTTTGGGCCGTCCTCGACTGCTTTCCCAGGCCACAAGCAGGGAGCTGGAAGGGAAGTGGAGCTGCCAGGGTTAGAACTGGAGCCCATTTGGTATCCCGGTGCAATCAAGGTGAGGACTTTAGGTGCTAGGCTACCATGCCAGGCCCTTAATATAAATTTCTTATAGAAAAAAGAGGAGCTGTTGTTGTGGTACAGTGTGTTAGGCTGTCACTTGAAAAGCTAGCATTCTGTATTAGAGTACTGGTTAGAATCCCAGTACCTTGCGTTTGGAAAGAGCGATTATTAAAAGCCAGCAAGAAAGAAAAAAGGACACCAGTGCTGTAGTGAAGCAGGTTAAGCCACTGACTGTGTCACCACCATCCCATATGGACATTAATTCAAGACCTGGCTGTTCCACTTCCACTCCAGCTCCCTGATAATTCTCCTGGGAAAGTCACAGAAGATGGGTCAAGTACTTGGGTCCCCACTACCTATGTGGGAACCCCTGATGAAGCTTCTGTCTTCAGCTAGCCCAGCCCTGGCAGTTGTGAACCAACAGATGGAAGGTACCTTTCTCTCTCTGTCTCTGCCTCTTCTTCCTGTAACTCTGGCTTTCAAATAAATAAATGAAACTTTTTTTAAGAGATAAGAAAAAAGGGAAACTGTGTTTCTGTATGGACATTTAATCCTTTGACAATGCATTGCTCTATCAAATTATTTAGGAAGTTGGACAGAAAAATACAGAAGAAATTTTTCATGTAATCTAAAATTTGTATTTTTTCCACATGGATAAATATTTGATATGTGTTGCTGTTATTTAAAAAGTGATGCTTATTGTATAAAATCCTTTAAATTTTATTAGTCTTAATTATTCATTACAGAAGGAAGTTTATCTAACACATGGAATGAAAAGTACAGTTCTTTACAGAAAACACCTGTTTGGAAAGGCAGGAATGCAGGCCCTGCTGTGGAAATGGTAAGAGATGAATTTTTCTTACACTTTGAAATGCAGCTGAATTATCCATTGTTGTCATATGTAAGTTATTACAGCACAGTAAGCAGTTTATAATGTTTTATTTATCCCAACTTCAACCAATCAAGCCTTTGGTTATCATTGAGTTATATTTGATGTTTTTAAATAAATAGTCTGTAGACATAATCTGGTCATTGTTAACCATTTGCTAAGTAATTATGGTCTCTTTTAATTGGGGAAAAACAAATTCCAGCAACTCCAAATCAAACTCTTTTTGGAAATGCAAAAATGTTACCTAGGTGTGACCTTTGCAAAAAGATATAAATAAGTGGTGGGTGGTCGAGGGTGAGTATAGTTAGAGGTGGGAAGTGAAATGAACACATAACTAGTATGATTAGCACTTTTAAGGCCTAGGTTTCTTCGCTGCCCAGCCAGGAGTATTTGTTAGAGCTGGAATAGCAGCAGTTGCAGTTGCTGGGGCAGCTGACCACAGTCGATGTGAGGGATTTCCTCATTCTGTCAGCTCCATCACTGTCATTCCATTCTTCCTCCTCTGCCCAGAGCCAGGGGAAGGGGCTGGGTAGAAGGGACTTCCTCTCACCTAATTGGATGTTGCCTGTATATATATATAAATGTATATATGAATGTATATATATATACATTTTTTTTTCTTCTGCCTGTATATTGTTAGCCCCATGTACCTGACTCCCTTCCAGACAGGCATGAAGGTGTGTCTTTAGTGGGAGGAGAAAGCTTTGAAAAGGGATTTGATCTTATTGGGATATTATTTCTGTTGTTTGTATCTACTGAGGAAATCAGGATAGCCTGAAATTTCTCATGTTACAGACTCTTTAAGTGTATTATATGCTTTTGGTAATTAACTTCTTTTTTTTTTAGTTTTACAGGTAATTATCAAGTATCTGTTTGTGTTTTGTATTTTTATTTACAAATGGAAACTTGGTTGACAATTTAAAATAATTTCATTTGAGAGGTAAAAAGAAGGAGATGGAGGGAGTGATATAGATATCTCCCATCCTCTGGTTCACTCCCCAATGCCTGTGATGTTGGCTGAGCCAGGCCAAAGCCAGAAGTTACACATGCTCTCCAGATCTCCTAGCTGGGGGGCAGAGACCCAGCTGCCTGGACCGTCCCTCTTGTGCCTCACAGGGTGTGCATTCACAGGAAGCTGATGCTGGGAGCAGAGCTGGCAGTCCAACCCAAGTGCTCTTGATCCCAACCAGCATCTGCTAGACTAAACACCTGCCCCTTTCACAGTTTTTGACAGCTGAAAAAGTATAATATTACATACATTTAGGCTTACTCTTCTAGAGGAAATTAGCATCTTTGTCCCAGCCTAGCATGATGCAACAGTCATATGGAATATACCCAGCTGGTATTAACTGAAGCAACAGCGTAATTTGAGCTCAAATTTCCAGAACTTATTTTCCTCATTATGATCCAAGGCTGCCATGTGCTAAGAAGATTTGAGTTCTAGCTCTGGTTTAATTATCAGGTATTTCACTCGGAAACAAATTACATGAATATATATATATCTTACTAATTCCCAAATCTAAGATTACTTACATTTGGCTTTTTGGACCGTGTATTAGCCACACTTAGTTCTTTCTTAATGCTGATAATCCAGAGTTAGGGATATTTTCCAAGTATAGAATTATATTTTGGAACAAAAATGGAAATTGTTCAGCTTTTTCATTAAATAAAAAATTTCTATGAAGCCTTTCAGAAATTCAAAACGAAGTCGACTCTTTTCTGAAGAAGATGACAGACAAATAAATACAAGGTCACCTAAGAGAAACCAGAGGGTTGCAATGGTTCCACAGGTATGTTTGTGCTAAAATTTTGTTTTGTGTGAAAGGAAGTTAGGGATCACTCCTGGTAATGAAGGTTATTTGTCCTGTTGCATTTTGAGTAACAGGTTGTTTTTTGAAACTTGGTACTGCTGCTCAGATCCTATTTTGGTTACCCAGAAAATGTGTTAAATTTTTTTATCAACTTTAGAGTAGAAAGGCAGCTGTCAGTCCTATGTATGCACACCCTTCTTTTAAATGTGAGGATAGTAGACACTACGTAGATTTGGCATTATGGAATCAACTTGGAATTTAATATAGAAATAAGAGGGGAGAGATGCTTTATCACTGGGGGAAGTATGACGAAGACTTTTCATTATCTAGAAAGGAAAATATATCACATGAAATAATTTTTTTTTGCATCTGTTGCTTTTTTAAGTCATTGTGGACATTTAAGAATCAAAGAAACAAAACTTGGATGAGGAAATAGAAACTTGAAGGATAGTATGAGGTGGGTGTTTGTCATAGTGAAGACACTGCTCATGATGCCTATACCCTCATCAACGTGCCTGAGTTTGAATTCTGGCTCTGTTCTTGGTTCCAGCTTCCTGGCAGTGCGTGCCCTTGCAGGCAGCTGGTGATGGCTCAAGGACTTGGGCCCACATTGCCCATATGGGAGACCCAGAAAGGCTTCTGACCTATTCCTGGCTGTTGCAAGCATTTGGGGAGTGACCCAGCAGATGGATGCTGTGTGTGTCTGTCTCACCCTGTTTCTCTGTTATTCAATAAAAATAATAATAATTGTATAAGTAGGAAAGATAATGTATTTTTCTCCCTATCAAATTTATAATTTCTTACATAGTCATTCCCTACTTACCTTTTACTATTTCTTCAAAATTGTTATAAAACAAGATTTGCCAAATGTGATTTTCTTAACCAAGAATTTGGCATCAAATTAAGGAGTGACCAGCAATTTGTCCTACCTGCCTCCCAATAAAACCTCTCACCTATCTTATGAAAATTTCAAACAGTAGAATATGAAATATTCTATACAATAAATAAAAATGTTAGGACAAATATACCTAACATTTCATCTGATTGAAACTAAAATATTAGCATTTCTTGGCATCGTGCATGTTAAATACAAGACTCAGTGACTACAGAAATAGCTAACAATAGCTTGACTTTGCAAAGCTAAATTATTAGAATAGTTTAGATGATCCACAGATGTAAAGGAAACTCTGGTCTTTGAAACTTTCCTATCACAACCGTGTCCACTGCATTCCTTCCCAGGTACATCATTCCTACTAGAGCAATTTTACAAAGTCCTTTCTACTTCTGAACAATACAGGACAAACATGATATGAGCCTACTTTAAAAATGTGAGTTTTTATATCCTCTGAGTTTTTTTTTTCTAGTTTTATTTTTTAAATTTAATAAGTTAGAGGAGAGGGATCCTTTGTTCATTGGTTCCATTCCTCAAATGCCCCGTAGCCAGGACCGCAGAACTCCCTGTAGTCAGTGAGACCGAACACTTGAACCTGCATCTGCCACCTCCCAGGATGCACATTACCAGGAAACTGCTTTCAAAATGGAGTAGTAGCTGGGGCCCTACCCAGGTACTCCACTGTGGGCGCCTCACAGGTGGGGCCTTAAGCCATTTTGTCAGACGCTTGTTCCCGTTTATTAGTTTTCATGTCGATATGGTTCCTGTCATGCCACATGATATGGCTTGCACCCTTACACTTCTGGTTCCTTACATCCATTGCATTTTCTCTATATTTATTCAGAGTACCATCCAGAGCAGAGAAATCATGAAAACCAAATTTTACTGATTCTTACTGTGTGCCAGGTTATGATCTAAGTATTTCGTATGTATTCCACTGGTATAAACTTTGATCAGGAGGTTAGTTTTTAGTTTTGTTAGTCTCATGTTGCAGATGAGAAAATGGACAGAGAGATTTAATGTATTGCTTAAGATCATGAAGTCAGGAAGTGGAGGCTGATGTACAAAGGCAGGTATCCCATCTACAGAATTTTACTTTAAAGATAAATAAATCAACAGGGGAAGGTGTTTGCAGTGGTTAAAACACCACATGAGAAGGCCACATTCTGTGTCGGAGTGTGCATGGATTTGAGTCCTGACTGCTTCTGACTCCACCTTCATGCTGACGCACACCCTCACAAGCAGCTGTGATGACGCAGTACTTGGATTTCTGCCACCAAGGCAAGAATCCTGAATTGCATTCTTTGTTTCCGTTTTGACCTGGCCCAGTCCTACCAATTGCAGACATTCGGGGAGTGATCAAGTAGATTGAACCTCTCTCTGTTAAATAAATAAATAGCAGCTAATTTTACTGAGATGTAATCCACAAATCATGATTTATCTACTTAATAGTGTACAGTTTAATATTTTTAATATATGTACACAATTGTTCAACCACTATCACAATCGGTTTAAAATGCTTTTATTGCCCTGAAAAAAAACTTTTTTAAGTTTTTTTTTTTTTTTTTATTGGAAAGGCAGATATACAGAGAGAAGGAGAGACAGAAAGGAAGATCTTCTGTCCATTGATTCACTCCCCAAGCAGTTGCAACGGCCACAGCTGTGCTGATTCAAAGTCAGGAGCCAGAAACCTCTTCTGGGTCTTCCACATGGGTGCAGAGTCCCAAGGCTTTGGGCTGTCCTCAACTGCTTTCCCAGGCCACAAGCAGGGAGCTGGATGGAAAGTGGGGCTGCTGGGATTAGAACCAACACTCATATGGGATCCTGGCACATGTAAGGCGAGGACTTTAGCCACTAGGCCACCACGCCACCACTCCGGGCCCCACCACCTTTCTTTTTTTTTTAAAGATTTATTTAATTTTTATTAGAAAGGCAGATTTATGGAAAAGGAGACACAAAAAGATCTTCTATCCATTGATTCATTCCCCAAGTAGCTGCAGTGGCCAGAGCTGAGTTGATCCAAAGCCAGGAGCCAGGAGCTAGGAGCTTCCTCCAGATCTCCCATTCGTGTGCAGGGTCCCGAGGCTATGGGGCATCCTCTACTGCTTTCCCAGGCCACAAGCAGGGAGCTGGATGGGAAGTGGAGCTGCTGGGATTAGAACCAGCGTCCATATAGGATCCTGGCGCGTTCAAGGCGAGGACTTGAGCCACTAGGCCACGCCGCCGGGCCCAATTTAAAAATCTTATACCTGGTATCAGTCACTCTGTTTTTAAATTGTTGAGTAATGCTTTGCCATAATGAGGATATTAAGAATTTGTAAGATGTGGGTTAGATAGTTGGCATAGTGGTTAAGATACCCCTTCGGACTCTAGCATCAGTCATCAGAATGCCTGATTGGAATCTCGGCTGCTCTGCTCTCAGTCCAGCTTCCTACTAATGTGCACCTTGGAAGGCGTATTGGGATCCTGCAGCCGCAGAGAAGGTCTGAATGATGGTCAGTCCTGGCTTGTCTGGCCCACTCCTGGTTCTTGTGTGTTTTGAAGAGACCCAGATGGAGGAACTCTTTCTGTGTCTCTGCTTTACAAATAAAATAAAGATAATTAATTAAAATGAATTAAAAAGCAAATACACTATACTGAATTATCCTGTGAGATGTGTAATCATCTTTGCTTTTAAAGAAAGATATTACCAAATAATCTATCCATTAAAATATAGTAATTTATTCTTCAAAAATGTGAATGTTTTTCCCCCCAAACTCAAGAATTAAATATACTTTTATTTATATCTATTGTGAGCTGCTAATACTCTATTTAAAAACCTGGCTCAATACTCAGTAAAAAGAAACAACACTTTTTGTGATAAAAACATTTAACAGTAGCTTAATTGTTATTTATGCTAAGCATCTTGTGGCTTACAGACGCCTCTTTTTCCTACATTAAAAAGTTGATTTTGTTAATATGATATGATATGATATTCTGCACCAGATTCTGGAACAGAGAGAGGACTAATGCGAAAACTGGTGAAATCCAAATAAAGTCTGTAGTTACTATGCCAATTTTGTAGTTTAAAGTCTGTGGTATTGAGCCAATTTTGACAAATACAGCATGGTTATTGTAAGATATTGACGTCACAAAAAGCTGAGTGCATGGCATAGGTGAGCTCCGTGCTATCTTTGCAAATTACAATTATTCATACAATTATTCTAAAATAAAAGCTGATAATAAAAAGCAAAAAGCTAATTTTGATCTCAATTTACTATCTTTGTATTTGCCTTCACTCACCTAGTGCTAGCACTGTCACATAATTTATTATCCTCTAAAAACTTTTATTTACCCTTAGACAACAATGTTTTTGGCTCGGTGCAATAGTCTAGTAACTAAGGTTTTCACCTTGAACAGGCCAGGATCCCATATGGGTGCCGGTTCTAATCCTGGCAGCTCCACTTCTCATCCAGCTCTCTGCCTGTGGCCTGGGAAAACAGTCAATGATGGCCCAACGCCTAGGGGCCCTGCACCCCGTGTGGAAGGCCTGGAGGAGGCTCCTGACTCCTGGCTTCGGATCCACAAAGCTCCAGCCATTGCAGCTGCTTGGGGAATGAATCAATGGATGGAAGATCTTCCTCTCTGTCTCTCTTCCTCTCTCTATATCTGACTTTACAATAAAGATAAATAAATATTTTTAAAATTGTTTTTACACAAAATAGATATTGATATATAGCGTTTTCTTTTTTAATGTCAGGTATCATCCTATCCTTTTTTTTCCTACTGTTTTTTTAAGATTTGGCCATGTTGATTGAGATGAATCAGCAAACAGGGTTCAGTATTTTCTGTTGTGCAGTAGTCAATATGTTGTATGACTCAAATTTATAAATTCCTCCTTTTGAAGACATTTAAATAGTGTCAAACTTTTTATTCTTGCAAACAATTCATTGTGTAGCACGTTTGTATAAATTTGTAACTGTTTCTCTAGGGCAGATGCCTAAAATGTGAAATTGCTCGAATATAGGACAGGCACATTTAAAGTTTTTAAAGTAGTATAAAATTACTCTGCAAAGTAATTGCACTTGCTTATTCTTTTTACAACATA